GCCAGCTGGCCCTCCTACCAGCAGATATGAGTGTGCGCTTCGTCTCTGCCACAAAGTAAACCAGCTACATTTTTTCTGGCCTTTCTTTTTTTGGTAAGCAAAGACTTATTTTCTTCCCTATTTACGTCAGAGTGTTAGGCGGCAGCTGCCTGTGTGCTCAGAGGGTTGCTGGTCCCTTCTATCCCCGGTACCAGGCTGGTCCCATCTGATGCTGAGACCCCCAGGTTTGCCAGGTGGCCTCCCTGGGCAGGGGGAGTGTGGCTGATGCCTGCCTGCTGCCTGCAGTTCCCTAAATATTCACAGAGGACCCCCACTTACCAGGCCCTTACTGTAGCCTGGGGCCCCAAAATGGCTCATTGGCTCTGACCCCACTGCCCCGCATGGCTCCCGGACCTTCTCTAGGCCAGAGGCAATGGCCCCCTCCCGGCCAGCTGCATGTCGCCTTAGCGCCCCAGTGGGACGCGTGGGGGCTTGTGAGCCCTCCGCTCTGCGTGTGACCCTGCCCCTTCCCCAGCCGTCTGGCCTCTAAGGAGAATTTTTTTTTGAGGAGAATATTTCTTACCTCAGTTGCTCCCCCCTACCCCGAGAGCTTTCTCTAGGGTTGAGAAAGTTGAAGTGTGAGTGAGAAGTACGCAGTCCAGTCGCTCTGCGGGCCCCAGCCGGGCCACTTCACTGGCGGACTCCCTCTGCTGCCGCTGCTGTCTGCTCAGCGACGCCCCCTCGCCGGCAGGGCGGCCTGCGGGATTCTGCTGCTTGCCTGACATTGAGGCCACGTGTCAGTTACCGCTTGTCATCACTCCTGCAGTTTTTGTCATGGTAGAGAATTATTTCTCCGAACCTGGGTATTCATCAAAAGTGGGCGAAGGGGAGCCCGCTGAGGCCTCGGGAGCCCCCCCGGGGTGGGTGAAGCCCAGGACTGGCAGGGACTAGGAGGGCTCTTGCCTCCTGGCTGGGGCAGGACAGGTTCTCCTGCCTGGTTTCCTTTTACGTTACATGCATTTTTGGTTTGTGCCTGTTACCATAAGCAGCTCTGGATGCCTTCTGGAAGTACATGGGGGTAAAAATAAACTCATGCCCCAGGCTTCCCACACATAACGTCACCTATCAGAGGGTGTGGACGGCCCCCAGCTCCTGTAGCAGTGCCGGTTCAACGAAAGAAGGCTCACACCTGCAATCCCAGCACTTTGGGAGGCTGAAGTGAGAGCACAGCTTGAGGCCAGGAGTTCAAGACTGCCTGGGCAACATAGCAAGACCCTGTCTGTACAATAAAATAAAATTAGCCAGTTGTGGTGGCGCGTGCCTGTAGTCCCAGCTACTCAGGAGGCTGAGGGAGGAGGATCGCTTGAGCCCAGGAGTTCAAGGCTGCAGTGAGCCGTGATGACTGCACTCCAGCCTGGGCAACCTGTCTCAAAAGAAAAGCTCCCCCTTTCACCATCACACAGAGGCCCTACCAGGGACTGATCTGTCATCCCAGGTGGCCCTGCCGACTGGCCTAGGAGAACTGGACCATCGAGCCCAGAGGAACGGCTCACTGCACCTGTGAGGAAAAGGTGCAGGCCTGGCTGGGGGCTGAGCCCACCTGCCCGGCCTCCTGTGCTCCTCACTGAGAGCCAGAGGCAGGACCCAGACCCAGGCCCGCCTGCCCCAAAGCCACACTCCTAACCACTGCGCTCCAAGGGCTGCTGGCCCAGAGGGGCTGGGTAGGCATGTGACAGAGTCGAGGCTGGGAGGGTGTGACCCATGCATTTGCAAAGCCACCTGAACACAAACACAGAAACCAGCTCTGATTCAGCAGCACCCACTTTTATTTCTAAACAAGCATACAGCATCCAGTGACGTGACTGTTTCCCATCCATTTGGGAATCCTCTGTGCGAGATAACAGCCACAGGGGCCCATCTCGGACCCACCTTCCCTCCCCACCCATAGCCCCCCAAGAAGAGCAGCCAATCACTTTTCAGGAGCCAGGGGCCCAACATTGCCTCTCACATCTCACTTGAGGGAGACAAAAGAATAAGCTTGGCCTTCCTAATGGTCCTTAAGACAAAGCGAAAAACCAGTGCTTTTAAAAACCCTGCTTTTACAAATAAAACGAAAAAGAATACAAGATTTTGATTAACCTTGAGAAAACATCAAGCCTTTGCAGAAGCCCTGCTTGAAGAAAACGTTGACAGCCTTTGGTAGCGGCCACGGCCATCCCCACTGTCCACTACGGAGTCCTCCCCACTCCTCTGCGTGCAGCCTCGCGGGGGCTACGGGCCTGCAGGGCTGGCAGGTGACTTCTTCTGACCACCAGTGCACACTTTTGGTGCAGTCTCAGGGCCATAGGGCCCCCCAGCCGTGCTCCCCTGAAGCCAGTCAAGCTTGCGCAGAGCAGCCTCCCCGGGGACTGTGTTGGCCGGGTGGGGCCGTGGGATGGTGGGTAGGGGATGTTAGAGTCTTCCTTCTTTTGTTACGTGGCTGATGACATGAAGTCTCTGACATCTAACTGCATGTCTGGGAAGTGGCAGGAGCCTCACCGGAAGGGGGTGTGGCTCCTCCTTCTCCTGAAGCCTTTACTGCTGACTGTGGCGTTTTCATTTAAACACCTCCCCTAGGGCTCTGGAGACTGGTCCCCAAGAACAACTTCTCAGTGATTCTGGCTGCTGTATCAAGAGTGTTTCAGATTTGGTTTCCTACCAACCAACCAGCAGGGGAGACATCTGCCAGCATTTTGAAGAGGAGGGGGGAGGTACAATTTTCTCTTGTTTGCATTTAAAATCCTAATCAAAGCAGGTAACTGAGATTCTTTCTCACGCCGGAATCAGGGAGCAGTTTGAAGCCCAGAGCCACCCCAGGCGCCACCTGCACACTGGCCAGCCCCCCGCCTGCCTCCCTCCAAAGAAGCGGGGCCTTGGCTTTAGCCACCCTGCTGAGGATCCTGCCAAGCGTGGCGGCCCCTGTGGCAACATGGACTGGAGACTTCACGAGGCCACACCTTGCTGATGGCACCTCCGACAAGGGTTTTGAGGAGAAGGATCCCCACTCACCCATCTTTCGGCGTTCCGTGGCCCACAGAGGAAACTGCAGGCAAATCAGGGCCTCTCTGGGCTGGCTCCGGGCTGTCCCTCGGCCTCATGCCGGCCAGGCTGGGCCCAGCCAGCACTCCCACTGTGGAAAGGGTGGCTGCCCTGCGGCAGGAGGGGCTTCAGTTCTGCCCTGGGCCGAGCGTCTGAGCATCAGATGATGGAACTGAGCCACCCTCAGCCCGGCCCGGGCCCAGCCCACCGCAGAACTTGATCTCGCTGGTCCTAGGAGCAGCCAGCTCCTTTCCCCAAAGCCCTCCCTGCTCAAGTTGCAGGGATGTTTGTTCCGAGGGCTCCTACAACCACAGAGTTGCAGAACGCGTGCAATTTATTCCAAGAGGTGGTTTGACAGGGCAGAGCCCGGTTCGCGGGCTGAAGGGCCAGCTTCCCCACAGCGCCGCTCACTCTAAAGCACTTCCTCCTACGTGCTACAGCTCTCCTGTCCTGCGGCTTACACCTAAAAGAAAATACATACGTGGGAAGGTATAAACTGCATTTTTATATCTTCCATGCATTTACTGCCCCAAATAATTATTGGGTATGTTAAAGGTAGACAGCAGCAATTTTTGATTCTCAGGCAAAGAGATCTGAAAAAAATCCACCAGAGAAATAGACTTCCATGGCCTTTTACTTATGGGGTGCTCTCTTAGGAGTGCTCTCCCAGGCTGCCAAGCCCTCACGTAGCCAGCAGGGAGCAGAGGAGGCTTGTGGGAGCTCCCGGGGGAGCTGGTACCTTCCAGGAATTGTTCCCCCCCCCCCCCTTGCAAACCTTGGGGCCCTTCCTTTAGGTTTTAGTTGTTTTTTTGGTGGGGCAGGGGTTGGCGGTTTTTGGTTAAAGTTGGGGGGCCGGTTTTGTGTTGGTGGGGCATTGGAGCCAGAGCGGTGATGAGGGGCAGTCTGAACTGGGAAGATCTGACTCTTTGCATTGTTTAATCTGTGAATTTAAGATTAGAGAAAGAAAGGGATCCTGGCAAGTAACTGAGTTTGCAAAGCAACTTACATCTGTAAGATCGGACCCTGAATTTCAGGAGAGAAAGTAAAATGAGTTCTGAGCTGGGGTGCGAGAACAATCTGGTCTCAGGTCCCTGCCCCCACCTGGCCACTCTCAAAGAGGCCGTTCTTTGACCTCTTTTCCACTAAAAGGAAATGGTGGAGACCAAAATTAAGCAAGGCATGGGCTTAAATTACGGGCTTAAGATGAGGGATTATAAATAGATTATATTTTAGCTCTATCAAGTAAAAATTTACTTTTCATGTAATAATAGCGTATCATAGCTTCCTGCCCAACTGGCCTGCTCTGACAACTTTGGGGGCAAGGCAAGGTGTACGGCCGGGGCCTGGCCTCTCATGCCTGGCACGAATCCTGGAGGGTCCTGAGGTCAGTCCTTCCTAACGTCCAGGGCCATGCTGCTGCCTGAGGCAGCAGAGATGGAAATGCACCTGCTACCAGCCCAGGGTCCATGCTGGCCCGCATGGGACCACTGTGTCCCCAGAGAAACAAGGACATGCAAATGATGATTAAACCACTCAAGTGTGCTGAGTTCCAAGACTCCGGCTGGGACCCAGAACCACATGTGAAAGTTGTCAACGGCCCTTAGGTGGGCAAAGTTGAGCGGTTATGAGGCTTGTTAAAAGACAGGCGAGGAGAGGTTGTGAGTCAGTAACTCCGTTTCATCTGGACATGATTGGCAGCTCATCACCGGCAGATGGCTGGGAGGTCGCAACCGAGCGACGGTGCTGGGTGAGTGTGTGCGCGCGCATCTGACCCCAGGCTGCTGGGGTCCCAAGTAGGGGTGGGAGGGGAGGAGGACCATGTGCTGCTCTGGCCCTTGCCCCAGTGCTCTGGGGAGCTGGGACCCTGGCATGAATGACAAAGGGGACGAAACATGGTAGGGACCTAGGAGAGGGGAAGGAGGATGAACCCTGATTAGCGGCGAAGGCGCAGCAGGTAGCTGGTGAGCACACGCCGCAGAGCCTAGGAAAAGGGGCCTGTGCCGGACAATGAGAGCCACCGATGGGGAGCGGAACGGAGGCGACCCGCTTCATATAAAAACAAAATAAAAAAGAACCACTGAGTAGGGGAATTGCAGTGAGGGAGGAATCAGATGGCAGGAGGCGACTACTACTAGGCGACTCTTTGTTGTAACAGTGCAGGAATTTAAACTGAATCATGGAAGGCGCCAGCCGGCACAAACCCCTCTAGAGGGCGCTCTGACCCCACAGACCAGGCTCACTCTCCCACCCCCAAAACCCAGGGTTGCAGCCTCCCATGGGGCTCTAGAGAAGATACTAGAAGGTACCAGTGTAAACATTCAGAATATGCCCAGAGAAGGGCAGCAGCTGCCTGCCACCCAGGGAGACAGGCTCTGAGGTGCCAATCAGAGGTAAAGGAAAAAAGGTCACTGGGTTTTTCTTTCTCAGGGAGGGCAGGAACTATCACGAAGGGGGGTGTGAGGTTGTCAAGATTTCTGGGCCCTGCCACTCAGGTCAGTTTGCTGCTGCTGAGCCAGAGGCACCTTGATGACTCCCACCTGCCAGCACAGAGGCCCATCCCGGCAGGGGCTGTGATGAAGGCAGTGGCTTGCGAATGGCACAAACTGCAAACAAGTGCTCCTCTCAGCAGGCTGGGCAGCAGTTCTCCTTCTCCAGGCAGGCACCCAGCTTGACAGATGACTGCTCACCTGGCTGCAGAAGCAGAGGGAAGTGTTCACCTAGGACAGGTGGTCACTCCAATCTGGGGGCCGAGAAGCAACACCGAGAGCAGAGAGGCTGGCTCAGTGAGGAGTGGGCAGATGACATGCGTTTCTGAAGCCAACTGGCTCCAAAGGCCTGGAAAGTTCCAGGTTAAGAAGACTCCGCGGCCTCTACTTCACCCTCCTTGCTTATGTCCTGAAGAGGCTGCCAAATGCACGCACCTCCGGGAGGCCCCTGCTGGGTGTGTGTGGGCGGCAAACGCCCGTCCTGCGTCCTGCTGCCCGAAGCCCGGGCACCTGTCACAGCAGCTCCTGCTCGTCGTCCTCGGAGCCGGAGGGGCCCTGGCGCACCTCCTCATACCACTTGTTGGTGAGAGTTTTCATCTGGATGCGCCCGTGGTGGAGGTCCTGGGGCAAGAGACACAGCCAAGCCCCGTCAGTGGGCCGGGGTCAGGGTCAGTGCCAGGGAGGGGGGAGGCTGCTCTGTACCTGGTGTGGGGGGCGCGTGGGGGCGCACGGGCAGCAGGGTGAATGGCCACAGGCAATTTCAAAGTATTAACTGACTCAAGCTGGGATTTTTCTTTTTGGGGTGGAGGTAACAAACAATAGGGTCATTCAGAAACGGGGAGGAGGAGGCAGGGTGGCGTGGTGTTAGGGGGCATGGCCTCTGGAATGAGACCCATTGGGCTTTGCCCAGTACTGGCTGTGGGACCTTCGGGGCTCCTTCACCTCCCTGTCCAGTGCGATGACAGCTGCATCTACTGCACAGGTTGGAGGATGAAGGAAGCGACCACGGAAGCGGTGGGTGCAGTGCCTGACGCTCCCAGTGAGACTCGCACGCTGCCAGCCATCATGCCTACCCCGGCACGGAAGATGGGGCCCAGAAACAAAGGGGGCAGCAGCCGGAAGACCCCCCCCACACCCCCTTCCCAGGCCTGCATCTGTAAGAGGCTAGCAGTGCCCGGAGGGATGGAACAAGAGACCTGAGAGCCTTGGGCCCCTGCCTGAGGCCCTGGTGATGTCCAGAATGCCTCAGCTCAGAGTCAGTGGCTGATCAATGTCCTGAGTCTGTCATCCGGGCAAACCAAACTGCGTTAACGAGTCTATTATTAAACTAGCGCTAAATATGGCAGCGAAGGCAAAGCAGAAGATGCCAAGCTCCACAAGCACACCCAGCCCGAGAGCGGAGGCAGCGGCCTCTGGACCCACATGAGCCCTCCCGCCTCTCTTCCTCCTCCCCATCCTTGGCCACTGCAGTCCTGAGCGAGGAAGGTAAGGGGCCCCTGGAGAGTGTGGCGTGGCCCGTGTCCCACCTCCTGCGTCAGCCTCCGTGTGAAGAAGGGGTTCAGGTACTTGGCGTCCAGCCACATGAAGCCTTTGAGGTCCTGCCGCCTGATGTAGTGGGCTTCGTACTCCTCCTCCGTGAGCTCCGACAAGTGTTCAGACTCGATGGTGTTGCCCTGGGCAGGAGGAGACGCAGCCAGACAGCCGTCAGCTGGCACCAGCAGGCTGGTCTCTTCCTGGAAGCCCCCACAACACCCAGGCCGCCAGTGTCCCCAACCCTAACTCCACCTTGCATCAGCGCAGGGTGACACGGGGAGCCCAGGGGGTGGAGGAGGAGGGCGGGAAGGTTTGTAAGAATACGATGGATGCCAGGGACGACACCTAAATCAGAGGTCTGGGACAGGGCTGGGACTTTTACTTTTTATTTTTTAATTTATTTTATTTATTATTTTTGAGGTCTGGGCAATGGGTGTATACCCACACCCAACTCTTCAGGGGATGGGAACATGCAGCCAGGGCCGGGACCCCGCTCTGGGCTGCACCAGCAGACCGAACAAGGGAGGCTCCTTTCATCGCTGTGGCCTGCGGCTCCGCCAGCTGCGCTTACGCTGCGGGCGGGTTCCTGCCAATCAAGTCGGCACAGGACAGCGATGCAAAGGACTCCCCGTGAAGAGTGAGGGCTCAGGCCACCGGCTCTCTGCCCGCACAGGGACGACCAGAGGCAAACGGGATGGGAACGCAGGGCGCTTACTGCTCTGCTAGAGGAACCTCAAGGAAGCCACAGTGAAGTGTGTTCTGCCACAGTCAACTGGACCCCAGCTGGACACCTGGCCCAGCGGAGCTGGCGCAGGTGGGGGGAGGAAGGGGAGGAGAGGCTGGAGGGGGAGGGGAGGGCACACTGACGCTGTGGAGCCAAGGTGCTCAAACTCCGGCCTGCATCGGAACGACCTGGAGGGCTGGGAGGCCCCAGAATACTAGGCCGGCCAGATCCACCTGCAGAGCGGCTGATTCAGGAAGTCTGCGGTGAGGCCCAAGAGTTAGCCTATCTAACAGGTTGACAAGTTCCTTGTGATGCTACTGCTCTAGGGACCCCACCGTGAGGACCACTGGTGGACAGTGCGGTGGTGAGGAATGCATGCCCTGGAGTCTGTGTGAGGGCAGCTATGCGATTTGAATTCTCTGTGCCTCAGCATTCTCATCTGCAAAATGGGTTTAATGAAAGCACTTGCTTCCTACAGGTTATCAAGACAACCTGAGCTAGTCCAAGGAAAATGCAAGCACACTGACTTGGCCACAGAAAACATTCCAGAAACACAGCTCTTCTTCCTCTGAGGAGACATCCTGGTTTGCCTAGAGGTGGGGTTCACCAAGTGTGTTCGTAGGGTCAGCAGTGATGTGACGGTAGCCCCTGGCAACTTGTTAGAAATACAGATTCTTCTGGGCCCCACCCCAGACCTATAAGACACTAATGGTGAGGCCCACAGCCTGTGTGTGACAAGCCCTCCACCCCTTATGATACCCACTAAAAGGTCTGAGAATCTACTGCTATAGCTCTTCTTAAAAACAAACAGGAAGCCAGACATGGTGCCTCACGCCTGTAATCCTAGCACTCTGGTACTCTGGGAGGCTGAGGTGGGAGGATCACTTGAGCTCAGGAGTTTAAGACCAGCCTGAGCAAGAGCGAGACCCTGTCTCTACTAAAAACAGAAAAAGAATTAGCTGGACAACTGAAAATACATAGAAAAAAGTACCCGGGCATGGTGGCGCGTGCCTGTAGTCCCAGCTACTTGGGAGGCTGAGGCAGGAGGATCGCTTGAGCCCAGGAGTTTGAGGTTGCTGTGAGCTATGATCGTGCCACTGCACTCTACCCAGGGCAACAGAGAGACTGTTTCAAAAAAAAAAAAAAAAGAAAGCTGGTAGATTAGGGGTGAGGGAAGAAGGCCCTTTGAGTGTGAGAAAAGTTTTACAAAGCTCAGGCCGGAAGGCCATCTGGAACTTTCCTCCTAGCAGCACTGCACTGGCTGAGGGGCACAGCACGTTGACTGGAGGCTGAGGCCACGGAGCCGGACTCTCCAGCACTGGGCGTGGGCGGCCACATGAGGGTTTCTGTACCTCTGATGACCGGTTAAAGCGACTGATGGCCTCAAATAAGGGAACTAGAAGAAGATGCATTTCCAAAAATGCTTGGGGGTAGGGGTGAGCCCAGAGCAGCCTCTGCTTCTGTCAGGGAGCCTGGCCCAGCACAGGGACCTGCGGGGACTTGAGGAAGCAGAGTGGGCTGGGGCACAGGAGCTTCAGCCGCCACTGAGGCCAGGCCCCAGGCACTCCAGCCCCACGTCGTGCCCTCCCCTATCCGTGGGGAGATGCCTCTCTCGTGGGCCTCACAGCCACGGCAAGCCACTGCCTCAGGCCCCCAGTAGGAGGTTTTCAGTAAATGTTGGGGAGTGATGGGATTCTGCCACCTTCCAATCCTGCCCCGATGGGCATCTCGGCTACCGGCAGCGCAGAGGCGCTGCTGGGCGAGTCTGACGCAGGTCCAGGCTCCTCCAGCGCCCCATGAAGCTTCAGAGAGGGGAGCAGATGGTGCCAGCCTGCAGCCTCTGTGGCTTCAGCAGGTCAGGAGGTGGCAGACACCCCTTGCCAAAGAGCCATGCTTTAGAACCCAAGTTCCACCACCTCCTTCTAGGTCGGGCAGCTGGTGTGTGTACGTGTGGGTCTGGGTGTCCCCATCTCCCCGTTTCCTGGCAGTCAGCAGGGACCAGCCAGGAACGCAGTCGACCAGCCCTCTGCCCCGCCCCGGCGCATCCCGCACTAACCATCTTCTCTGTCTTGCTGAGGATGACGTCTTTCTTGCTCCTGCGGCGCGCCTTGGCGTCCTCGATGTCCACGAGGCGGATGAGGGGCATGGTGCTGCCGCCCAGCAGCAGGATGGTGAAGAGCACGATGACGATGGTGGTGGTGCCGATGAGCTGCCGCTTCTCCATGGGCTCCAGGTCCAAGTGCAGGCTCAGGGCATAGGGGATGGCCCCCCGCAGGCCTGGGGACAGTGCAGGGAGTAAGAGGAGACAGGGAGGCTTCACGGGCCAGGGGATTGGGGTTGGCCAGGCCCCATGGCCAGGTGACCCTTCTAACAGACCCAGGGTAGAGGGGGCGCTTGCTCTGGGCGGCTCTGGGGCTGAGGAGGTCAGGCCGCAGGGCAGGGGGAGCGGGCAGACTCACCTCCACCCCCACCTGAGCAGCCCACAAGGTGGCCTGTCCTGGCTGCAAAGCACCAGGTGTGCGTGTGTGAGGATTTACCAAGCCTGACACTTGCGTCTTAGAAATCATGACGGCTGCTGTGGGCCGAGTCCCCCTGTGTGTGTGCCGGGCCCTGTGCTAAGTGCTTGGCATGCACAGTTTCACTGGATTTTCACAGGAACCCCCTGAAGCAGGCACTGCCATCCTCCGCCACACGCAGAGGGGGAAGCGAGGCCAGGGCCACAGCCGACGCAGGAACAGCAGGGGATGCAGTCTGTCCAGCGCCCTTTGTGTCTGAAGTTGCTGCCCCTGTGTGGCCCCCTGCTGGCACCAGCGGGGCTCTGGGCTGCTCTGGTGGTGCTGAGAGGCTGCTGGTCCCCCGTGAGGCTGCTGGGGTGTGACTGAGGGGCACGGACCAAACTGGGAAACAGCACTTCCCTCTGTCTGGAACGTCCTGGCTTCCCCGGTGCCATAGGAAGGGGGCAGGCAGCCCTAGCCCTGCCCTTGGGAGCTCCCAGAGCAGCTGGGAGGAGAGCGAGCAAACAAGGACTTGTGAGATGGCACCAGAAAGAAAAGGGAGAGGAGGGGCAGGGCAGCGCAGACAGTGCCGGGACCTGACCCGGACATCGAAGCTGAAGCCCCACATCACGGTGGGGGACGGTCAGGCCGCTGCAGCAGGCCAGACCCAGGAAGGGGAGACAGCGGGGAAAGAAAAGGGGTGGAATTCAGAGGGACATGGTGAGTGACAACTCAGCCTCTCCAAACCTCTCACAAGGGCTAGAGGATTAAGTGGCTTGGCACACGTGCTGTGCTTGGAACAAGGCCTGCCCCGGCAAACGCTTTGTCAAGCTAGCCCGTGTCGCAATTCCCATCGGTGTCTGCTGTGGCTGGGAGTGCGGTCTCAGACCAGGGGCTTGCGATGTCTCCACCGCATCCAAGCAGGCAGTTAGAAACAGGAGTCTGCGTCCTGGAGGAAGGTCTGGGCCAGAGGGAACAGCTTTGGGATTGAGGGAACTAGATGGAAGTCAAGGCCAGAGGACAGAAGAGCTCACTCAGGGACGTGTGGAACACAAGAACAGAAGCAGGGCTGGGGCCAAGTCTGGAGGAAGCTGCTATTTGAGGGTTCAGTGAAGGAGGAAGAGGCAGAGGAGCCATATGGGAGCTTGGGGAGACCCCAAAGGGAAAGAAGGGAAACCGGGGGAGCGTGGCCTGAGGCCAGGAGGAGAGGGTGAAGGGTCTGCAGTCTGTAGGCCGGTGTGAAGATACATGGTATAATTTCTGTTTTTTTAAAATTTGTTGAGACATGTTTTGTGGCCTAGGATGTGACCAATCTTAGAGAATGTTCCATGAGCTGATGAGAAGAATATATATTCAGTAGTTTTGGGGTAGAATGTTCTGTAAATGTCTGTTAGGCCCGTTTGTTCTAGAGTCCTGTTGAAGCCCATTGTTTCTTTATTTTCTGTTTGGAGGATCTGTCCTGTTCTGTCAGTGGGGTGTTGAAGTCCCTGGTTATTACTACGCTGCTGTTTACCAAGAAGGGTTTGCTTTATGAATCTGGGTGTACCTGTGTTAGGTGCACAGACATTTAGGACTGCTGTGTCTTCTTGTTGAATTGGTCCTTCACCATTATATAATGACTGTCTTTATCTTTCTTTACTTTTGTTGATTTGAAGTCTATGTTATCTGATATGAGAATGGCGACACCAGCTTTCTTTTGGTTTCCATTTGCATGGACTATTGTTTTCCATCCCTTCACTTTGAGTCTGAATGAGTCCATGTGGGTTAGATGCATTTCCTAGAGACAGCAGACACTTGGCTTGTATTTTTCTTATCCATTCAGCCAGCAAAAGTCTCTTCAGTGGGGGGTTCAAGCCATTCACATTTATTGTAAGAACTGGTAAGTGGGATGGATTTCTGTTCATCCTGTTGGGTAGAACCTTATTGCTCAGTTTTACCTCTTGAGCCACTGTGGTACCTGGGCTCTGAACGTTAGCTTTTGGAGGGTTTGATGCTAGTGGGTGTCTATTGTGCTGATCAGTGCGTAACACAGATCTGAGTACTTCCTGCAGGGCAGGTCTTGTGTTGACAAATTCCCTGTGTTTGCTTGTCTGAGAAAGTCTTTATTTCTTCCTCATATAAGAAACTTGCAGTTTTACAGGACACAAAACTAGGCTGGCCATTATTCTCTTTGAGAAACCTGAGAATGGGGCCCCAGTCCCTTCTGGCTTGCAAGGTCTCAGCCAAGAAGTCTGCAGTTAGTCTGACGGATTTTCCTTTGTAAATTACCTGACACCTTCGCCTTATAGTTCCTAGGAGTTCCTCTTTTGTGTTAACTTTGGCCAGTCTGATGACTACGTGTCATGGTGACTGCCTCTTGGTGATGAATCTCCCAGGAGTCTGCTGCACTTCTAGTACCCGGATGTCCAGATTTCTAGCAAGACCTGGGAAATGTTCCCCAAGTATTCCCTCAGATAGGTTTTCTAGTCCTTGCGTATTTCCTTCTTCACCCTCAGGGATGCGTATAATTCTTATGTTAGGCCTCTTTACATAATCCCACGTTTCTTGTAGGGTTTGTTCGTTCCTCTTATTTTTCTGTTCTTTCTCTTTGACTGACTTGTTTCATTTAAAGGTGTTGTCTTCCAGTTTTGAAATTCTTTCTTCTGCCTGATCTAGCCTACTCTTAAGGCTTTCCATTGTGTTTTGTATTTCCTTGAATGAATTTTTCATTTCCAGAAACTCTGCTTGATTTTTAAAAAAATAATTTCATTTCTTTGGTGAATTTTTCGTTTATTTCCTGCATTGTTTTTGTGGGTTGGGTTTCTATTTTCTCTTATATTTCACTGAGCTTCCTTACAATCCATATTTGAAATTCTTATCAGTCATTTCAATATTCTCGTTTTGGTTGGTTTCCATTGTTTGGAGTTATTGTTTTCTTTTGGGGGTATCCTTTCACTCTGATTTTTCATGTATCTGGAGATCTTTTGCTGATTCCTTCGCATCTGGAGCAGCTTTTTAGTTGGTTAAGATTGAAGATTTATAGGTACTCTCATTGAGCTGTCTTTGGGAAGCCAGCAGTGCCAAAATACCAAGTCTGGAAAGCCAAAGAACTCAAATCATGGTCACCTTCGGTCTTTCACACTGCCTGTAGGGACCCCTGTGATCTCTGAAGGCAGGTGTGGTGGGGAGGAGATGGGCTGGAACCAGGGTGGACCACACCCTCCAGGTCTGGCTACAGGAGGTTGCTGGAGACCTGGCCAAGGCCAATTCCAGCCCAGTGGACAGGAGGTGAAGAAGAGAGAACAAGCGACAGGTCACTCAAAGAAGTCCGGCCACAACAGAAGGAGGTGCAGAGAAGCTCAAGTGGATGTGGGGGTGGGATTTTGGTTTAAGTGGTTGGTGTGTTGCTGGGAAAGAGAATCTCTGACTGTTTGGTGATGATGGGAGGAGCTGGCAGGAGAGGCAGAGGTTGAAGACCCAGGAAGGACAGGATGGAAATCCACAGAGGGAGGGCAATGGTTCTCACTCCTTACAGCATGCCCCCCACATACCCCATAAAAGTCTAGCATCATGGCCTCTCTCCCAAATAGCTCACATGACTTTATAAAATATCTGACACATTTCTTAGATTTTCTTTGAGATTTTTAAGACCTCGGATCAACTATTATACTTTGTAGAGCAGTTTGCTTCACTGGCAAAAATGATTTAAAATAACGAGTTTCTCTCACTATATATAAATACATATATACACACACACACACACACACACACA